CTAGCTAAAATATTACTCAGAATCCAGAAACACCCAGGCTGTAAATAAAGAGTTGAACAGCTCTATTACCACAAGCTAGAGTCTTGTAGAGTCACTTTGGTTGCTGCTGCGAGGCATGACAAAAGCAGCTTTAAAGGAAGGGTTTATTTGACTCACTGTTTATGGGTACAGCCCATAAAGGCCAGGAAGGCATCTGGTCACATTGCATCCACAGTCGGAAATAGCAATGAATTTTGGAGGCTCAAAGCATTCTCTCTCTTTTCAAAAAGACTTTATATTTATTTTAATTTTATGTGTATGAGTATTTTGTCTGCATGCATGTAAGGGCATCACATGCATGCACTGCTCACAGAAGCCAGAAGAGGCATTGAGAGCCCTGGAACTGGAGTTAGGGACAGTTGTGAGCTGCCATGTGGGTGCTGAGAACTGAACCTAGGTCTTCTGGAAGAACAGCAAGTGTTTTCTTAACAGCTGAGGCATCTCTCCAGCCCCCATTTTCTCTTTTTTATTCTTCCCATGACACCAGCCCATTAAATGGTGCTGCCCACATTTAGGGTAGGTTTTCCCACCTCATTCAACCTAATCTAGAAACTCCTTCATAGACACGCCCAGAGGTTTGTCTACTGGGTGATTCCAGATCCTGTCAGGTTGACAAGATTTGTCATTGCAACTGCAAACCTGTTGGCATCATACACAATGTGTGCCTAATCTGCTTCTCCAGGACATCTGTCATGTCCTCTAGAACCTCTGAACTGATGGCAGAAGAATGGCATGGTTAGATTTACAGAAAGATGTATCCAGATTTGTGTGGAGAAAGGGAGAGATTCTGATTTAAGGGAAGGAAAACACAATAAGGCCTGACACACAATGTGAGCCTGACTGATGAGAGCCTGAACCAAGGTGATGGCAATGAAAGAAAGGAGAAATGGTCAAAGACAGGATTTGTGGGACTTGGGCCTTCTTGTGGGTAGTGAAAAAGACTATGCCACTATGGTACTCCCAAATTTCCAACTTCAGTGACTGGATAATGGTGGGAGCCTTAACTGGGACAGATAGACGGCTATGCTGGTAGCTTTAGTTGTCAACTTGACACACCTGGGTAGAGGGAATCTCAATTGAGGAACTGTTTCCATTGGATTGGCCTGTGGCCATGTCTGTGGGGCATTATTTTTGATTGTTGAGTGCTGTGGGAGGGATCAGCCCACTGTGGGCGGTGCCACCCCTAGGCAAGTGGACCTGTATTGTATAAGAAAGCAGACTGAGCATGGGCCAGGGGAGCAGGCCAGTAAGCAGTCTGTGCTCCAGGTTGCTGTCTTGCCTCAACTTCCCTTGATGATGAACTGTGCTGTAAGCCAAATAATACCTTTCTTCGGCAAGTTGATTTTGGTCAGTGTTTGTTGAGACTTGGGTTTGTTTTGCTCAGCGGGGGACCTACTGGCTTCAGGGCAGAGAGACTTGATCGGCAACAGAGTCTTGGGCCCTGGGACCTGTCTCTTTTCAACAAGCTGTTTATTTTAAAATTCAGATGGTTTTTATACATCCCAAGGAACTAGCAGTCATGTGGGATATGGCAGTCATATACAAAGATTTAGAGTACAAAGAAACAGGACATTTAGTCTGTTAGTTGGTGCCAGAAGGATTCTTAAACTTTTACTCAAGGTTGTCAGTGCCCATCTGGTAATTTATTGGCCACAATGTTTTTTTTCTTAGAGCTAAAAGCATGGTGAACTTTTAGCTTTTAGCTCAGGAGTAAACTTTTAACCTGGCCTAATCTCTTAGCTAAGGATAGCTGAGTTATTTGTTCAGGACAAGGAGATGAGCTAAGGGTTGTTGACCAAGACACTTTCCCACAGAGCAGGGAGTCTGCACTTATGACCAGGCCACTTCCTCCTGGCAGTCTCACAGTGTTCTGTAAGACAGGGATTATCAGAGCCACTGTTTTCAGTGCCCCTCCCTTTAGCAGAGAATGCAGCCTGGGCTTAAAGGTTTTAGGCTCATCTCACCCTAGGGCCTGACATCCTGGTTTCCTACAAGTGTTTTTTCAGTTTTTAACTGAAAGAAACTCGAATAACAGCATAGGACCAGAAGCAGTTTGGGGGAAAGAGTAAGATGGAGTCAATTCGAGTTCGAGATGCCTGTGGTATGTTCAGGACTGCGTGGGTTTGGAGCCTAGAAATGACCTAATTTCCAATCTGGATGCTTTTTAAGCCTGAAACACAATTATCCTCAGACTGTTCTTCCCTGGCACATTGGCAAGTAACCACTTCCTGGTTTTCTCTTAGTTTACTAGCTTGTTTTGCTGAAGTATGTTGTTAAGTACCCAGGAAAGATTGAGAAGCAAATACGAGTTCTTGAAGTTCTTGGAAAAGCTTCATTTTGACCTTAATCTAGCTGAGCTGAGAATGGAATTCCAAGTTCAAAAATATGTCTATGTGAACTTTGTCACTGAAAAACTGAATGCTCGTTTGGTGCCTTTTCCTCTGCAGCCGACTTCCTTCCCCCACTACCTTTCTCCCGAAATGTAGGATTTTTCCTTTTGTGCTTGGTGTTCTGAAAACTCATGCCGTTTTCAGATCCTGGGGATTTTCTTCTATGACTTCATTGACGATTCCTCTCCCTCTGCTTTATCTTCCTGGAGTATCTCTTAGATACTGTGCATTTTACATCATGCTGTATTTCTCACCACCTTCTTTTCATGTATTCTCTTCTGTGTTCTGAGAGATTGCACTCTGAATCCTATTTTAGATTGGATTATTTTTGTGTTAAAGTATCCTGTTTTCCAAATAAACTGCCTCTCATTGTTTTTTGACATTAATAAAAGCCCTTTTTCAAGTCCCTGAATTTCCCCACATCTTTCAGGGACAGCTTTTATTACTGCTTGCTTTTATTTTGTTGAGTTCACCTGGTTTTTCTCTTTTATTGTGCTGGGTAATCCATTGTCTATTCACATTTAAGGAAGGTCTAAGGAATGGTGGTATTTCTTCTACCGCTATGTAAAAAGGACTGTTTTCATAGCAAGTTTCTCCTCTAAATGAGAAAGTGGAGCAGGGTTTCTATATATGGTATGTCATGGCAGGTGGACTATTTTAGGATGAGAAAGCAAGCATGGGGAATTAGCTTTTGGCCTCATAAATGCCATAATAGAAATATATATATACATATATATATATTTCATATCATATCATACAAAGATGTCTAATGTCTGTGCTAGAAACCGTTTATCAGATAATTTCAGTGTCCTCAGAGGATAGTCTGCAGGTTCCTAGGCCAAGGGTAACCTCTTTTGTTGTGTGAAGGAAATGGTAGTGAGTCCCAAAGATGCTTACCAATGTAGGTCATCAAGGCATGCCCTTGGTCTCTGCTCCAGCTCTCATTCCTACCAAGGAAAGTACATACAGACTCTGAGCAGAGACTCCCTCAGTTTTCCCCAAACAGCCTGCATTTTGTTCATTCTGTGGAGCACATCACAAAACCTGGGCCAAGTATTATCTGCCAGCTTCATCCAACAGCATGCTTTCACACCTGCTTTTTGTCTGACAGGAAATTGCTGAAACCCCACCTGCTAGTTAACTAGTCTTGTTCACTTAGAACATGGGTTCTTTTTTTATATTTCTGTAATTTTATTTCAGAAGGCTTTTAAGGAGAAACTGGATATAGTCTGCCATCTTGAACCACAAACATAAGTCACAAAAGTTTTAGTGCAACTGCTTTCTTTACCCAGGATCTAAACTATATATGTGTGTGTGTGTGTGTGTGTGTGTGTGTGTGTGTGTATAGAAATGTATATATGTATATACATAATATGTATACATATATATGATTCATCTTCAATGAATATATCTATATTCCTAGACATCCCTTAACATTCATTCATTTAGTAACTATTCAACCAGAAAAGATTATCAGGTACCATATATATAATTGAAAATCTATAGCCTGTTCTGTGTTTTAAGGACACAGATGCAGAAAAAGACAATTTCAACATAGTTTAGAAAGAATCCAGTGATGGAAGAGAACATGGGGAAGAAGTTCTCTGGATGCCCTGAGGGAGTTATGACATGATTCACGGGAAATTGGTCATCAAAGTCTGTGCCTAAAGGAAGAGTTGGACTATTCCAGACAGATGAGAGTAAAGATGTAATAGAGATCAGGACAGGGGAACCTGCATGTACAGTATGAGGAAAACAGGACAGTTCAATAAACAATTATCTAACTCAAAGTGTTGATAGTTTAGAGGATGAGTGAGCCTGATGTGGAAGTCCTCACATGACCACACCTATCAGCAGATGGCACAGGGAGACTGACTGCCAAGTCTAGGGTAGCATGCCTGGCTCAGCAGCTCCCGTTTGTTCTTGAGAAGGTGTGAGATCAGGGAGAAGTTGACATAGAGGGGCATCTTGATTATGGGCAACACAATGTCCAAATGATCAGACCAGACCAGTTCAGGAGTCACCACTTATAGGGAGCAGACCAGAGCACTTCCTCCAGAGGTTGGGGGCTGGGGGGCGAGGGCAGAGGGAGCCAGGATCTAAAGGGAACCCCATGTGTCCAAGTGCACTTTGGTGACATACTCACAAAAAGTAACAATACAAGTCCTTCTGCCCTTTTACCAGGAGGTTAGGTGGAGAAAAGGAAGTCTAAAAGGATGAACACATTTACAAAAGGTGATACATCACCCAACAGGGTGAATGAGCCTTTTGCCTTGCCCGATGACCCAGGAGGCAGGCTCATGAGAAAGACTAGATCAGGTTTAGGACATAAGGAAACTTGGCACATTTGAGTACATTATGTGAATTATGCTCCCAAGTTACCTCTGGTTATTATTGAGATTATCTATGCTACCTGTTGAATGCTATAATAGGATTAGGACTTCACTCAAATTTTCCTTTGTGTCAGTTTTCCTACGACATAAGAAATGCTTTCCTGCAGCTTCAACTTGATAATTAAAGGTCATTGCCAGTTCCAAAAAAGAGGAAAATCATTTTAATAAATCTTCTTACTTCTTTTTTCAGCCAGTCATTCTCCCAGATCTCTTGATAATTACTCCTATTGATGAATTTTACAGCATTCTACAAGAAAATTTCTGTATTAAGGAAGAGTCATCATGAAGGGATGCACAATTTCAGCAATGGAGAGACGGTTTGTCTCAACATTCATTTTAAATTCTGCTTTGCAATCACTTTGGGAACACATGTAAGTACCTGTGGTCCCTTTGTTCCTTCTTTACCACCCTGTGGTATTTTCCTGTGGACTGTCTTCTACAGGTGACCTGAAGAACTGGACACTGAGTGGGAGTTCATACACTTGGACTTCACTCTGACTCTCACTGCCATGGTGATACCAGTCATAAAGAAATCTTCCCCCCAGTTAAAGTGGCTACCTGCAGTGACCCAACATTCTTCAACTTCATAGTCAACATGCAGACACACAGACACACAGACACACATACACAAACCTAACAGCAAATAGCTTCAGGGTAGCAGGCCACAAGACAGGGAGGTATTTTCTGGAGGAAATGGAATTTTGACCACAAGAACAGGAAAAGCAATATTTGTTTTTAATTACATGAATATTTACTTCTTTCCTTTTGTTATTGTTGTTGTTTGTTGTATTGTGGTGTTGGAGACTGTTCAGGTCTTCACACACATCCTAGGCAAGCACTCTACAATTGCCACACCCCCAGCCTGATAGTTATAGTCTTACCCATAAGAATTTTATAGTGGATGATGTATTTCTTTATGAAATGTTTTATATGGATATCATGTTACAAATTCAATATTCAGTTACTAAAGGACAAAACCTCTTAAAAGGAGAGAAACTAATATATATATAATGAATCAAAACGAAGAAGGGCTGGGGCTATGACCCATTTGGTAAGTGCTTACAGTGCAAGCCTGAAGATCTGAGTTCAGTTCCCAGCACCCATGTAAAAAAGCTGGATGTGGAGCCTGTGAGATGGATCAGTGGGTAAAGCACTTACCACATGAGCCTGACAACCCGAGTTCCATCTCTGTTCCCATGGTGGGAGAGAAACTGACTCTGAAAACTTGTCCTCTGACTTCCACATGTGTGCTATGGCACACATGTACCTGCACTCACACAGACACACAGACAATACACAGACACACACAGACACACAGACACAGACACACAGATACACGGACACATAGACACCCATACGCACAGACACAGACACACAGACACATACAAAGCTGGACATGGTAATGTGCCTGTAACCCCAGTGCTGGGGAGGCAAAGGTAAGGATCCTGGGACTCTGGTCAGACAGCCTAGCCTAATCAGGGTGTTTCAGGCCAGTAAGAGTCCTTATCTCAAAAACAAGGTGGAAAAAAACAAAAACCCATGCTGGACAGCTCCTGTGGAACACCACCCAAAGTTGGCCTCTGGCCTCTACATATACATGCCCATATGTGTATATACACCTGCACACGTACATGCACACACACACACACACACACACACACACACTTGCAGACACATAAAAAAGAAAATATATTCTAGATTATAAACATGGACAGAAATAAATTGAAAAAAAAAGTATGTTAAAGATAAATTTATTTGTTAAGTCTTTACAGGTGGAAGATTTTCGATTAAACTTGAAATTGTGTTTATTAAATTAAGAGGGGCCATCCATTTTCTAAGAACTTTTGTATTCCAGATTCAACTGGTAATTCTGGTTTCCTCCAACATAAAATATTTGAACAGAAGCCAAAGTAGTTCCTAACTGAGATCAGCCGATTTGTTGCTTACTTCACTAACAATGGGGTTGTGGTTTCACCTTTGGTTGAAAACTTTGGAAAACCCCTAAGCCAGACACCATCCCAGAGCAGTTACATTAGCATCTTTGTGGGTGGGGCCAGGCATCATGTGGGTGATGCATGAATGCGTCCTTAAGGTTGCACAGCACTGAATTACAGGAAGATATGAAAGCCAGCTAAAAGGCTAAAAATTCATTCAAGCACTTGAGTGCTGGTATTATGTACAGTATAGTCATGATGAGCTGTGATCTGTGTTCTCCCATTTGTTTTGGGAAAGTCACTGTTCTCTCTGCCTCCATGTCATTAGCAAGTTCCTACAGCTTTTAGGATTGCTGAGCGATTTAAATGCCTGATGCTTACAAGGGCATTTGGGACTCCTCATAATACATGAAGTCACATGCTCATGTGATTTACATAGGTATTTTAAAATATTTTATTTATTATTTTTATTTTATGTGTAGGTGTGTATTGCCTGCATGTAGGTAAGTGCACCCTGTCATTCAATGCCCACAGAGGTCAGAAGAGGGCATCAGATCCCCTGGAACTGGAGTTATGGATGGTTGTTAACCACCATGTGGGTGCTGGGAACTGAACTCTGGTTCTCTACAAGAGCAGCTGGTGCTCTCAACTACTGAGCCATCTCTCCACCCCTACATAGATATTTTTAGTCATCTAGACTGTGGTCAGATCACTTAATGGTGGACTTTACCATTCAGTTGGATTTAGTCAAAAAGCGACCCAATTGCATGAGCAGACAAGCTGCTGATTAGTTCTCCCCAATCCTCTGTATTTGTGCAAATTAGTGAAAAATCATGCTGTAAAAATGAAGAGCCAAAAAGGATCCCACAAACAGCCACTGAAATTCAGAAAGGACTTTGAAAAGACCAGATGCTTAAGAGTCTGAAGAAACGATGTCCCAGTAAACAGGTATTCCCTTTGCTGACTTAGGAAATGATCTAAAGATGGGAGGAAGCCTGTGTATGTGAGGGTGGGTGGAGTCAGGGTGGCATGGCATCAGGCTCTGTGTGACACAAAGTAATGAGAGTGTGTACAATGAGAAATTACATCTTGAAAAATAATTTGTAGCCCAAGCTTCTAAAAAACAAGTAATGTAGAGTACACTCCCCAGGCTTGGATATACAAGAAATACCTTTTAGACAAATGATATTCTGTCTAAAACATTTATTCTTAATATTTCACTATAGCCATATGATACTTTAAACAAACTGAATAGTAATTTACTTGCTCCTTGTGAGATATGATGCTATTTAAATAATCTCACTTAATCCTCACACCATATCTTTAAGGTATGTATTTGTCTCTATACATTAGAAAACAGAAGTCAAGGAAAATGAAGTAACACATTCAGTTATACAGTAAGTGACAGAACCTCAACTTCAACTGCTTAACTTCAGAACCCAGGGTTTTTTAATTTCAGTTGGTGGGTGAATGATGGTGTTTTTATTTGTGTGGTGCAAGGACTCAAACCCAGAGTGTTGCACATGCTATCCAAGTGCTGTATCACTAAGCTACATCCTTAGCCCTTCCCCAACTTCCCTCCCTCCCTCCCTCCCTTTTCTTTCTTTCTTTCTTTTCTTTCTTTCTTTCTTTCTTTCTTTCTTTCTTTCTTTCTTTCTTTCTTTCTTTCTTTCTTTCTTTCTTTCTTTCTTTCTTTCTTTCTTTCTTTCTTTCTTTCTTTCTTTCTTTCTTTCTTTCTTTCTTTCTTTCTTTCGAGACAGGGTCTGGCTATTTAGCTCAGGCTGGTCTAGAATTCATGATCCTCCTGCTTTAGCCTCCAGAATGCCGTGAGTACAGACAAGTACCACTATGTCCCATAGAACCCAAGTTATTTTTTAAGCCATAGTGATAAGCTACGTGAAAGAATAAGGAGAAAGTTCCCTTTTCAAAAATTGATTATACCTGTGTGGCCCATTCCTTCTTCTGGTCCAGCTGTAACAGAGTTTCTCTGATTACTCTCTTTCTGGTATCTTCCAGAGTGATTTTATACTGTTCTTTAAAAACAAATTACAAGTCTTAATAATACTGATCCTAAGTAAAACTGTGATGTTTATAAATTTTACCTTTCATGACCTTCTTCTCTCCATTCTGTATACTTTCTTCCCTTGAATTCTCAAGAATATATTTTTATGACACATCTCACTCTCCAATTAAAAGAAATGCTCCAATAATAATTTGCTAACATCTTAATATGAATTAGTCTAAGGTCTCTAAGAATGTTTGTATTTTCAAAGGATTCTCTCTAGAGGGAGAATTTTAAACACTTTAATGCTCATATAGCATCTGTCCTTTGGAACACACAGCTTATGCCTCATTCCACAGCAGACGTATCAAGATTACATTGTCTGTTTGATCCTCGTTGTGTACATCTGGCTCCATCTAACTACATTAACAATGTTCCTAGCGTGTGTTTCTGTGTGTAGGGAAGACTGGGCGAGAAAAGGGTTCTGGAGGCAGGAGACCTGAGCCTATGCTGAGCTCCCCACGAGGCAGGACGACAGAGATGAAGTGTAGGATTCCCTATCCTGTTCTATTTTCCTTTCTTTTCTGTTTTAAAGACTTATTTGTGTGAGAGCAGATATGTGTGTGTGTGTGTGTGTGTGTGTGTGTGTGTGTGACACAGCACACATATGGAGGTCAGAGGACAATTTTTCAGGAGTTAGTTCTCTCCTTCTGCCTTGTTTTTAAGGCAAGGTCTCTCTCGTTTCTGTCACTGTATACAGGGGCTTCAGCTCATCCTCCTGACTCAGCCTCTCTTTTCCCTGCAGGAATGCTGGGATTACAAATGTGCATGGATTACAACTGAACTCAGGTCACAGGTTTGTGCTCCAAATGCTTACTGAATGATTTCTCCAGCCCTCCCCTCACATTTTCTTATGCTCATAAATGCCATTAGTGGAAGGGCAAAGTTTAAAACTTTAAGCCTCAAAAGGTACCTAGATATCATATAACCGATATCCTATTTATTTATTTATTTATTTTTATTTTATTTTATATTATATGTATGAGTGTTATGCCTACACTATGTAGGTGCACCCATGCCATGCAATGCCCACAGAGAACAGAAGAGGGCATCGGATCCCCTGGAACTAGAATTATGGATGGTTGTTAGCCACTATGCTAGAATTCAAACCCAGTCTTCTGAAAGAAGAGCCACTAAGCGATCTCTCCAGCCCCCAATATTCCTTTTTAAGGAAAATAGAGTGCAGCTACATTAAGGCTACCTAAGGCTGCTTTGGAGAACTGAAACAAGTCTGGCTAAAGGAGGCCAGTTAAAGGAGGCCAGTTTGCTCTCACCCCCCCAACCAACATTTATTAAGCTCTTTATGTAAGATACTGTTGAAAATGTTGCTGATGAAGACAGACAAAGACATCTACCCTTACACAAAGTGCCTTCTCATAGAGAAGCCGGACTGTGAGCAGGAAAAATGGTATTTCAGGAAATGAAGGTGAGATAAAGTAGAAGTAAAATTCTCTATTTCAGATAGGAGGAAATACTGGAGCAGAGTCTAGTCAAGGTGATATAGTCATCAATGAGGGACTGCATTACTGCAAGTGAGTTAATATGACAAGAGCCCAAGTCAGTTGTGTTTTATTATAGCATCTATGTTGCATGCCTCATCAGTTGGACCTTATTATAACATGTGAGAGATAATTCTTTGAAAGTCAAGGTGTATCTCCCCATACAAATGATGCTGAAAATCATGTTTGCTAGATTTTTGGACAGATCCACCTAAGCTTATTTAACTTATTCTCTAACAAAACAAAAATAGTGTACTAAGCTCCCATAGACCTTAACTGCTATCAAAGGCTCTGTTTCTATGTGTAAATTTTCTTAACACACCAAGACAGCCAAAGTAAAACTCTGGGATCTTGGGCTGATGGCAAGGAGCTAGCAAGCCTGGTGGTCTTCCAACAGCTAAACTAAGGTGGCTACTGGGGGGCTAGAGAGGCAGGGAGCTGGGCAAGTTCCTCTGCCCTCATCTATGTTTTATGCTTGCATAACGGTTTGCCCTGTTAGATGATGACTCTATGGGTGGAAATGACTCTTACGTATCCTTGTATTACTTGAGCGTAATACATTTTGACGAAAACTGGATGAGGCAAACTGCCAGCCTGTGGTGGGCAGTAGTCTGAGGCTTCAGTGCCAGGGTTGTGGCAGCCAATGATGGCTCTTCAGAGGCAACTGAGACAGAGAGGGGAAGTGGAAGGAAGAAGAGAGGAGAGCTCACTCCAGTTGTGGAGTGACCAGAAAACAAGGCTGGGAGAGGGCCTCTAATAGAGTCAGACAAGATTGTCTGAGGCTGTGGTTCATAAGGAAGAGCAATCACCAGGTTTAGGGAACTAGTCTAAGGACATCTGGAATATGTGAAAGAGAAATCTCTATCATCCTAGCCCCGACGTACGCATCAACACAGCTTGGCTTCTTCTTCCTTTTTTGCGGAGATCACGAATATTTAATCTACCAGTCCCTTCTGACAGAATTTCTTTCTTTGATTCAGGCCCTAGTCCATCAGGTTAATGTTAATTATTTGTTTGATTCTTAAACATAATCATTTAGGAGTTTAGCTATAATGAGTTTTTCATTCTTAGCATCTGAAAGAAACCATAAAACCTGGAGTTTGATAACATAAAGTACCAATTCCTTGCTATGAATTACAAAAAAATGGATTGCCGAATATTCCCTGAAGCTCTAGCTCTGTTGCCACATTAATATTGAAAAGGTGATGTTCACATCTGACTCTATTAAACTCCATATAATATCCTGTAGACTGATTTTCTCCTTAAAAGTGAGTAAGCTATAGGAGAACAATTACGACACGTGCATGGCTACCCTTTAATGAGTCAGTCTGCCGCCTGCAGCCTGTGACATCAACGAACCACTCATTTGTGAAGGCAGCCAAGGGAAATAGGGGTATGTGGGAATCCCCTTCTTCCAGAAATTTTAGGCTATATCACTTCTGGAGATTCAGCTGTCCAATATAATGTGATCACTTCTGAGACAGTCAACTCCAGCCAAGGGGCTGATGCTTGTTTTCTGTTTTCCCTTCCCATTGACTCTGGCCCTGCTTTGCTTTACTTGCTCACAGGCTGTGGGAGTCTGTGGTGTGCTCTTCACTTATTTGACTAATACTGTCTCAAGCTCATGTCCAGTTCTTATTCCTCATCAGCATTCAAGGCTGACTCTTCCATCATGGGAATGTTTGTGTAGGTTCTTCACAAGGCAACCTTCCTCATTCCCATTGGTCCTGCAACTGCATTCCCGGGATGCAGGGGACAGACTGTCCCTAAGAGTTGATAATAACTTTTCCTTTGGCCCCTGGTCCTCAACGCTGCTCCCCAATGCTGCTTCTGCAGGAACTCTGTTTTCTGTCGGCCCCCAGCTGGTTGTGCTGACATGATGCTAATGGTTCAGGGATCACCCACTTTCTTGCAACTGCATTCCCGGGATGCAGGGGACAGACTGTCCCTAAGAGTTGATAATAACTTTTCCTTTGGCCCCTGGTCCTCAACGCTGCTCCCCAATGCTGCTTCTGCAGGAACTCTGTTTTCTGTCGGCCCCCAGCTGGTTGTGCTGACATGATGCTAATGGTTCAAGGATCACCCACTTTCTTCTGTTACACATATGTTCTCTGAACATCTATGATAGAACTTGAACCGGCTGTGTGGCAACTGACCTGACATTTTCTCTGCATTTTCTTTGACTGTATCGATGTCATTTTGCAAAGAAACAATGAGTTTGGCATGCTGCTGGCTCCCCACATTCTTGTATTCTTCCCAGTACTCCTTCTCACTGAGTTTCTCAAGAAATAGCTTCTCCGCATCACTTATTTGTATGCGCATTTCTGTTGGAAAGAAAAAATACATGTCATTTCTGTTGCCTTTGTGATTATTATATTGTACAGTCGACTTTCACAAAGTTAAGGAAGGTCTGATATTCAAATGCTG